AAGTCTCCATTGGAGACTCTCCAAGACTAAACATCTCCACTGTACGCTGAAGGGAGTAAACGTAATTTATGCTTCAAGCGTACGCTTACGCTGCGTAAAGACTCATTTATCTTCATTCTTGATTGATCCTAGCTACGATCCGGCCCTAGGATTCCTACCCGGGTACTACCCGCGTCGAGATGCAGTCACTTCACGATAAGTAACTGTTGTTACTCACCATCCATCACGGGAGCCTGTCGTACTGTACAACAGGCTGTACGACTCGTGCAGCGGGGGTTTGACCGTCAAACTTTGACGTGATGATGCACAATCTCAGAGATTGAATCTCTGCGTCGCTTCACCAGGAGGCAGGCGGAAAATTTGCATTCGGGCACGAATTTTCAGGACCCCGGATCATACGCAGATATATAGTCATCACTCTTTCGTTGGCTGGAAATCATCCATCGCTAATGATGCCCAAAAGTCTACAGCCTCTCACCATTCACTGATGGGATTCACAATCTCTTCATAAAACTTATTGCGCATCTTCCACTCCCTATTGCTAGGTAGACACACGAATGAATCGAATCCATCGGATTTCGCGTGCAATAACTATCCGCGATAGTGACTCCGCAACCTGGAGCCGATTAAAGTGCTCTGATTTCCGAGTCCGAGTTCTCGGAAAAGCGGCTTTTCCGAGTTCGGATAAAAACTACGAATTAAAGTGCGTTCGAAATTCCGAGCTTTTTTCCGAGCTCGGAATCCGTGTTACTCGGTTCCGAGGAAAGCGATTTTCCGATTTTCGATTAAAGTGCTCTGATTTCCGAGTTCCAAGTTCGAAAAGTTTTCAGGGTCTTTGGACTCCCGGAAATCCTGACCCGAGCTCGGAAAAACGCAACTGTGCGCCAAGATAGCAGAAACTCGGCCACAAAACAGCTCAAACACATACAAGCAACGTGCAATAAGCTATTGCCAATATCATTATTGGCTCAGGCATGGCCATTGTCATCGAGGGCAACTTGACCCAGAGCCTCGCCGAAGACAAACTCACTCCTCTGTCGGTCTTCTTCCCGATACAAACATTTTGTTGTTAACGCAACTCAATGCTTTGTATCCCGCTTGAACTAACTTTTCGCAGGTAGTTCGTT